GACAGATCTCCAAATGCATGCGGCGGGACTTACGCAACTTCAATACAGCTTGTATTGAAGAAGCGATCGAGCGGAACCAAGGCTCCGAAGTCTTTGCCAGAGATCTGTCTGCCAGAAAGAGCCAACTGTCGAAGCTGAAGACCGAATGTGGCAGCATCGTTTCCGGGGCACCTGAGATTTTGAGTGAGATTGAGAGGTTCTATAGGCAGCTGTACACGTCATCGTTGGAGCCATACGCAAGTGTGAGTAACGATCCAAGAGCGAGTCTTATCCGACACTATTCCGAAGATATCCCGGACGTCAGTGGCTCTCCAGCACCTTAAAAACGGCTAGGCCCCAGGCGAGGATGGAATTACAGCGGAGCTTCTGAAAGCGGGTGGAAGACCGGTACTTGAAGTACTTCAGAAGCTCTTTAATTCCGTCCTCCATGGTGGCATTACACCGGAGGCGTGGAGCAGAAGTGCGGTGGTCTTGTTCTTCAAGAAAGGTGACAACGCTCTCTTGAAGAACAACAGACCGATTTCCCTTCTGAGCCGCGTCTACGTGCTGTTTTCGAGAGTCATTACGAATCGTCTCGCGCGCAGACTTGACGACTTCCAGCCTCCCGAACAAGCCGGTTTCCGAAAGGGCTTTAGCACCATAGACCACATACATACCCTTCGGCAAATTGTACAGAAGTCCGAAGAGTACAATTTGCCACTATGTCTGGCGTATGTGGACTATGAGAAAGCCTTTGATTCCGTCGAAATTTGGGCGGTGCTGCAGTTCCTTCAGCGGTGCCAAGTTGACTGTCAGTATATCGAAGTGCTGAAGTGTTTGTACAGTAGAGCTACGATGGCTATCCGAGTACAGAACCAGAGTACGAAACCTATCCAATTGCAGAGAGGTGTAAGACAGGGTGACGTTATATCCCCGAAACTCTTCACCGCTGCATTGGAAGACGTTTTCAAACTTCTGGACTGGAAAGGATACGGTATTAACATCAATGGCGAGTACATCATTCACCTTCGATTTGCCGACGATATAGTCCTTATGGCAGAATCACTGGAGGACCTAAGCACTATGCTCAATGACCTCAATAGTGTCTCCCAACGGATAGGTCTTAAGATGAACATGGACAAAACAAAGATTATGTTTAATGTCCATGTCACACCTATGTCGGTAGTTGTTGGGAGCACTAAGCTCGAAGTTGTTGATGAGTATGTTTACCTGGGACAAATAGTCCGACTAGGTAAGTCCAACTTCGACCGAGAGGTCAATCGACGGATTCAACTCGGCTGAGCAGCGTTCGGGAAGCTACGACACATCTTCTCGTCAGACATACCTCAAAACCTTAAAACGAAATTGTACAACCAGTGCGTGTTGCCAGCGATGACTTACGGATCTTAGACGTGGTCCTTCACTCATGGTCGCTCAGCGAGCTATGGAGAGGGCTATGCTCGGGGTTTCTCTGCGTGATAAACTTAGAAATAAGTATATCCGCAGTAGAACCAGAGTAACCGACATAGCCCAACGGATTAGTAAGCTAAAGTGGCAGTGGGCCGGCCATACAGCTCGAAGAACCGACAACCGATGGGGAAGAAAGGTTCTTGAGTGGCAGCTTCGTACCGGTAGGCGAAATGTAGGGCGACCCCCCACAAGATGGAGTGACGACCTGGTAAGACATGTAGGAAGTCGATGGATGCAGGTGGCTCAGGACCGTGCTTTGTGGCATTCCTTGGGGGAGGCCTATTTTCAGCAGTGGAAATATGAAAGGTTGTAATGATGATGATGATGATGAAATGTTTTGTCCCCAGCCCATCCTAGCTGTTCAGGTGAAGTACACTCTGAGGTGCTTGACCGCTAAGTGATAGTTTAACATTGTATGAATGTTTTAGCAATCGGCATCGATTTGGAGTCGATATCTTTTTTTATTATCTTATATTAGTTTTATAGACACAACACGGTATAGGGATATTTTAACAGTACATGAATCCAAAAGAGTATCAATATTTTCTTAAGACATGTATACCTACTCGTAAATCCAAGAAAGCCTTTTTTTTTATAGGATATGGGTAACAAACGAGCACACAGTCCACCTGATGGTAAGTGGTTGCTGCGGCCCATAGACATCTACATCTATCCTCTATTACAAATCAAAATGTAGATGCGTTGTCACCCGTGAGGACTAAGATGGAATGCCTCATTTCCAGTAAAAAGGGCCTCCGGCCACCTGCACTCACCAAGCGAAACGCAGAGGTAAACCTCTACTTCACGCTGGTTTTCTGTGGGGTCGTGGTACCACCCCGGTTCGAGCCGGCCCATCCGTGCGACAGCGAAAGCTGCCGCGTGGCTCTACCACTGTTAAGTGGTACCTTATTTAATAATCTATTAATTTTTTATATAAACATTGAGTTCAAATACGGTTTTTCGATTTTTGTGAAAACTGTACATCATGAAAGCTTCATTTTTAAATTAAAAAATAAAGTAAATTAAAAACCTTTTAAGGGATGCTATTAATTAAGAGTAAAAAAATATTTTTACATTTGTAGACGTATATTACATACAATTCTGTAACGTAAATATGAGCACGTAACAAGACTATAACCTGGACATTACTATGGATATGAACCCAGAGGCACCTGCCCTACACGACATCTGGGCGTCCACTTAAGAAATAGACATACATATTACATACATACACTCGAAAAACATTATTTCTTTATGCATTACTCTATTAGTCTTCATGGCAAAGTTACTGGCATCAGTTTAGATAATTAAAATGTAAACACTTTTCCAATTTCTTTAAATAGAAGAGGACATAAGAAAAAGAATTATCCAAATTAATACCCCATTAAAACTGTTTTTTTATTATACCACCACTTTTTTTTTTTTTTATTAAAAAACGTTACCCCCACACTAGGATTTTCTCCTGTATCGTGGAGGCAGTTTACAAACACAAATTGGACAAGGACAAACATCCAGACCCGGAACAATTATTTGTAGGCCATACAAATACTTGTTCCGTGCGGGGTTCGAACCCGCGCCCCCCAGCGCAGCAACTCATTGCTAAGCCACTGCGCCACGGAGCCGTCAAACTTTAGTAAACTTTAGTAAAACCTCAACTATTTGTCGCCTCTGCTTTGGTGATGCTTGTACACCTGGCTAAAATTACTATTAGAGATAGTCCAATCTGTAGTTGTGAGCTAGACGAAGAATCCGCCAACTATATGTTATTCGAATTTCATATTCTCTCTACCATATCCTGCCCTTTTAAATCCCGCATTCTGTAAATTTCCATTCAGTGAGATGTTTTTAGTGGTGTTTCTCCCATTGTAATTATTTTGTGAGCTCTTATTCGTAATTATATTAAGGTGTAAAATTGTTAATTTATTTTAGTAACGGTTTTTAAAATGTGACTGTCTCTTGTAGATTGTGATGTAGATTGTTCTCCCGCTAATTTGAGAACTAATAATTTAATTATCATTTCCTTATATTTCCAACGACTACAAAAGGTCTGTATATTTTTTTCTATTCATATAATAAGACATGATTAATTACTAAAAATGTATTTATTTCTTTCTTATTTTATTTTAGGTTAGAGGTATGGCACTCAGCATTTGGATTTAGTTATAAGATATTCTTATTAAAGGCATTCAATGCAATAAGCATTACGTCTCCCACATTGACATCCGATATTACAAGGTTTTAACTCGCTTCGTAATATAAGTGTGAGATGAGGTACACGTATGTACGTGTGAAGTAATGTGAACACTTAACACGAAAACTTCATAGCAATAAATAGTATTTTATCGAAATTTTTTTTTAATAAAGTAAGGTTGATTAACGCGTACACAGTCTACCTGACGGTAAGTGGCTGCTGTGGCCCACTCACTCCTCCATTTAATACTCAATTAAGAATCAAAATGCAGACACCCCTGTCCTGATTGTCACCCCTGACCCTGAGGCATAAAATGGAATGTCTCGTTCCTAGTAAACAAGATCGCCGATTCCCTCACAGCAGCATTAAGCTGCTATTTTACGCTGGTACTCTGTGATACCCAGGTCGAACCGACCCATTCGTGCTACAACCACAAGTATTGTGTATCGTCTATTAGTAGTTCAAAAAAATGATGTAGATGTACTTACATACTACTTATTGTGCTTTATAATTATGCAATTCAGTCTGTGCGTATAATGAAGGCACCGTCACGCTAATCTGTTGTTGGTCACACAATATAAGGGGATCGAGGTCACACTGGTCGCTGGGGACCACGGCTATACACTCTGAGTGAGCCGCAAGTACACCTTTATCCGCACTATTTCGGTATTGTGACATTTAAAAAAAATAAAGGTTTTAAAAAATAATTTCTTAAAGCTAAAATATATAAAGTTGCTAAATAGTAGGTACAGTTCATTTTTTTTAAAGGATAAGAGTGACAAACGAGCACACAGTCCATCTGATGGTAAGTGGTTGCTGTGGTCCATAGACATCTACATCTATCTTCGATTAAGAATCAAAATGCAAATGCGTTGTCACCCGTGAGGACTAAGATGGAATGCCTCGTTTCCAGTAAAAAGGGTCTCCGGTTCTCTACACTCACCATACGAAACATAGTAGCGTTAAGCTGCTATTTTACGCTGGTATTCTGTGAGAGCGTGGTTCTTCCCCGGTCGAGCCGACCCATTCGTGCTACAACCATAATATAGCTGCAGCATGGCTCTACCACGTACAAAATTAATTATTCATAACAGTCTATAAAAGTCCACTGCTTGAACACAGACCTCTCACAAAAATTGCCTCATTGGGAGGATTTATAGTTGCCACGGTTGGCAGTTGAGTTCGCAATAGCATTTTTTTTATTATTTTAAATTGTTACCAGGAAGTAGCCGCTTCCCATCTCCTGTTTCAGGTTCCCTCTGTCGCCTCCTACGACACCCCAAAACGATTTGGGGTAGTGGGTATTCTCACACCGTAATAGTACAGTACTACGACTTATTCAAAAGCCTAAAATACTCACATCTTTATCCCATTGTAAATGATAAGGAATCTCATTGCCGAAGGGAAAATCGAGGTGGCAATTCATGACCGCGAAGCCACCGACGCTGGCTCGAAGATGCTCGGTGTCAAGAGGCAGCAGAGAACCTGCCACCAGTGCCACCAGCGCATAGCTCGCACAAACCGCTGCCCACCATCGTCCCGTTCCGCTCTCAGCCCCCATCATAGTCCCAACGCTGCTGGTGCGGCTAGCACTCTACCGCAACTGTCACTTAACGATGCTGTAGACTTGCTTAGCTCTAGTAAACTCGATGCACAGGCAACACGACAAGTATTCCGAAATGAGACCGTACATGTGCGGCGCACGCGCACGATTGACCAATGGCTCTGACGGAGTTAATCTAAATGAATTAGCACGAGCTCCCACCGCAGCCGACGAACGACTGCGTCGGACGCCCGGAAGCGATGATCGCTGCGACTCCTCAAGGCGGCCGCGGCCGCTCCCACCGATTTAATAAAATGCAATTATGCGCGCAGGTGTCGCGTAGAAATTAACCAAATTCCAGCACAACGTGCAGGGAGGGGTGAGCGATCACAGATGAAGAAGAATACGCGTTGCAGTACGAATAGGTCGGCTCGACCGGGGAAGGACCGCGCTCTTATAATACCAGCGTAACATAGCAGCTTAACGCTGCTGTGTTTCGTATGGCGAGTGTACATAACCGGAGACCTTTTTTACTGGAAACAAGACATTCCAACTTAGTCAGGGGTGACAACGCCTCTGCATTTTGATTCTTAAACGAGGATAGATGTAGTTGTCTATAGGTTACAGCATTCGGGTGTGTGCTCGTTTGTCACGTCTATTTTATTTAAAAAAAAATTAAGTTAGTTAAAGTACATAATTGATGAATATCTTAGTTAACTTCTGCACCCTCTCGACCTCGACACCCACTAGTCTGTACCCACCGCAACTCGCCGCTCCACGTTTACTGCTTACATCACTAACCCATGGGGAGTGGAACGTCGCACATGGCCGAGCAAGCCGCGCTGTGACTGTGACACAATGCATTCAGGTTAAATAGATGTATCAAATGCACAATGAGCTGTAATTGACATAATCCTCGCTAGCACACGATTTAAGACGATGACGAAGCAGCGGCGCGCTAATAAAAACAAACGGATACACACACTTGTTGCTTAAGTTTCTAAATTTTATAATTTCCTTCGGAACGGGTGATGGAAAATTACCTCCGTAGAAAAATATTTACACTTACGTACCTAGAGACCGCAGAGAAATGTACCGTGATAACCAACAGTAGACGTGCAACACGTCACTGTTGTTGTGATTAACAAAGTCGGGAAGGTCCGTTGCACAGACGAAAGTGTCCACGTGCAGTGCTCAAAACTAGTGATAGTTTTATTGTGCGCTTGTGAGAGCGATCGCCTGAGTTTCAACTTTCAACGAATTACTGGCAACAATGAATCTTAACGATCAGGCTGGTGACCACGTGTCGGCTTCATAATGCTCATCAGTAATAGCTCCATGCATTGAGTCCAGGACATGCTCTCACTCGGTAACCTGCGTGAGGCTAATATTCTAAGAAATCTTCTCATATTATAGGATGATGAAAATCTCATTTACACATATATATATATATTGGTGGCAGTGAATCCTTACCAAGTACATGAATGATACCATTATACACAGACTAAATAAATTTATACAAAGAGAAAAAAAAATTTAAGAACTTCGCTCCCGGCGCCAAGGTATATGCACATATGCGCATCGTCATCAGTCGAGGATGTATGCTAATTCCCTAAGAAATAAACGTATTGTTTTACATAAGGTGGAGGTAAAAGACAGTCCCCTGTGCAAGGTACGTATGAGAGAGGAGAAATCTGCTGCCAGAGGCCAGAGGTCGCCGCATACAGGGCTAAACATCTCAGCACGGCGAGATCGCTTCCTGAGGTCATCGGCAACATCAGAAATTCCAAAGATTTCATGGCTCGAATTATCACAATATTTCTGCCCACGCGAAAAATACGCACTTAGACGTGGAGTTGCGGAAAATAACCAATAGTTAACTAAACTAGTTAGTAAGGTTGACGGATGTTAGTACGTAAGTGGGTAAATTAAGAATAATGAAGTATAGGTAACGCAAGGAATATTAAAAACAAGAGGGAGTGGCAGAGCCCGTAATTTATACTAGAACCAGTACAAACTCATACGTTAACAAGGAAAGAAATTTGTACCGACAGATATGCAACGTTTCAATAATGTTCGCGTGATTGGCCATTAAGAAACATGCGCCATCATATGGAGTACAAAACCGGTGTGGAAAACCGTTATCTTGAAAATTTCCAGAATTGACTAGAAAATTTAATTAAGTACTTAACGTAATTCGCAATAATATCGTGGTTTAAAAACGCACCACAAGCTCATACAAATAGATATCATTACGTCTTTTATCCAAAAAGATTCGAATATTGACGAACTAATTCTGTTACTCGACGCTAGATGTCGCAATAATAATTCTACGTTATTCCTATAATAATGCTGATCGGTTTCAAATGAATTTTGCCGTACAATACCTGCCACTGGAATATAATATTTTATACCTACGTAGTAGAGCCACGCTGCTGCTATATTAGTAGTATACTTAGATTAGTAATAGGTCATCGGTCTGAGCGCGCGAGTACCTATTATTAATCTAAGGTAGTATAGTTGTAGCACGCATGGGTCGGCTCAACCGGGGAAGGACCACGCTCTCACAGAATACCAGCGTAAAATAGCAGCTTAACGCTGCTGTGTTTCGTATGGTGAGTGTAGAGAACCGGAAACCTTTTTTACTGGAAACGAGGCATTAAATCTTAGTCCTCACGGGTGATAACGCATCTGCATTTTGATTCTTTATTGAAGACTAGCTGCCCCCCGCGACTTCACCCCCGTGGAATTTACTACTATTTCATGGGTTTTTTTGCGCGGTACCCTAATTCTTTTTCTAAAATAAAAGTATCCTAAGTTACTCCTTATGAAATCAGATATCTGCCACTGAAAGTCCAGTCAAAATCAGTCCAGCCGTTTCGGAGATTAGCCGGAACAAACAGACAGATAAAAATTTTAAAAATTGTTTTTTATTATTAGCTTTTAACTATTATTTATTATGTGTTATTAGTACCGTATATATTTTCATATGGATTCAGTAAAAAGCCGTTATTTTATGATTACAAACAGACACTTCAATTTTATTTTATTTGTAATATAGATAGATGTCTATGGGTCACAGCAACCACTTACCATCAGGTGGACTGTGTGCTCGTTTGTCACCCTTATTCTATAAAAAAAAATCGATGTTTAATCATTATTAAGGTATGGAAATAAAATTAGTTTTTTTAATATAATTTATTGGAAATTGCATTATTAATGTACTACGGATAACCCCGTAAATATATGAATTAATTTTTGCATTCCAAAATTGCATAATACCGTTAATACTACCGTATTCTTTCCAGCACGGCTAGCATGGGCAAACATTTTATCCCCGATTATATCCACTGACAAGAGATAAAATTATCTTGTCCCTATGCCAAAGCACGACAACGGGGAGAAGTATATCCCCGTTTGACATAACGAGTAGATATACTTATATCCCCCGTCCGTAGTATGGAGCCAGATGAAAGATAAAATATTATGCTTTTTTGACATTTGAAAGGGATCATTTTATCCTAGTTCATCGGACGTGGGTTTAAGCTTATATTCATACAAAAAATCTATCTAAGTCTATCTCCCATTATATCCACTGGTGCCCATGCTCGAAGGGTGGATAAAACTAAGCGAGGAGATAAACGTTTTCTCCTTTCCTTGGGGATAAAATCAAATCATCCTGTCTTACACCTGCAGTTGAATAGGCGAGTACATCACTCACCTTCGATTTGCCGACGATATAGTCCTTATGGCAGAATCGCTGTAAGATCTAAGCACTATGGTTAATGACCTCAATAGTGCCTCCCAACGGATAGGTCTTAAAATGAACATGAACAAAACAGAGATCATGTGTAACGTTCATGTCACACCTATGCCGGTAGTTGATTGGATCGCTAAGCTTAAAATTAAAGCCCAGCGACTCTACTGAAATTAGGATGTTTTTTTTAATTTTTATTTCAATAGCCTCACGAATCATCCTCGGAAGGATCCCAATTGCATAATATAAAATGTGTCATGTAATAAATATACGAACTCATTATAAAAAAAAAAAAACTGGCTGAAAAATCGACGCTCCGGAAAGTATGCAGTCTGTGAACACGTTCAGGATCGCCCCCGTCACTACATCAGATGTGATAGACCACATATCCTCGCTAAAGAACACCGATTCCTTACTATATTGTCAATTTTAACAATAACAACAACAAATGGAAAACTGATTGATACTTCACAACTGATAAGTTTTCATTCATCATTAGTATTATGGAACACAAGCAAATTTTGAACATATTCTGAACAGACAGTTGTGCTTTCACGTGTTCAACGATTATTTTGCGCGTATATTTTATTTTTTCATTCATTAATTCATTACAGCCTTTCACAAGTCCACTGCTGAACATAGACCTCTTCCAAGGAATGCCACAAAGCACGCTCCTGAGCCACCCGCATCCCTCGACTTCCGGCATCTCTCACCAGCCGGGCTATTCACAATCGTCTCGGAAAGCGAAATCGACTCGGATTCGATAACTTCTCGCACCGAAACCAATAAACGCTATTCACATTTAACGTTCGGATAAAGGTCACTTAGATACATCCCATAACTATTGTATCGTCATTTAGTTACATGCATTTACGAATTTTGTAGATAAATAGGCTTTTGTATTTTTTTAGAGTAACGCCTGAACAAAAACATAATGCAATATTATGGAGTTAGCCATTGATATCGAATATAAAAAATTTATAATTTAACTATATAATAAATAACAAAAAAAACTGAGATATGTCTCGTTTCTGTCGGGTCTGGGTTTTTTTCTATGGGGCGTGACCGTACTTCTTTGACGTTTGTTTTCGATAATTGTGACAGTTTGCATCGGAAACTTCACGAGCTCTGAGGCTGGCGAAAACTTTTCGAATATTGATGATTAGAAGAGATAAATAAACCCTTTTAATTATAAGGTAGGTAACAAAAATTAATTACAATTATCTATAAGACGTATTTTCATATAATTACTTCAATATTTGCACTTAATCGTAAAGCTGAATTTTTGTGAAAGGTGTCTTTTTATAAGTTTTCTATCACAAAGCTATATATATATATATATATATATATATATATATATATATATATATATATATATATGCTGCTTTGTGAAACGAGACATATCTCAGTTTTTTTGTTATTTATTATATAGTTAAATTATATATTTTTTATATTCGATATCAATGGCTAACACCAAAATATTGCATTATGTTTTTGTTCAGGCGTTACTCTAAAAAAATACAAAAGCCTATTTATCTACAAAATTCGTAAATGCATGTAACTAAATGACGATACAATAGTTATGGGATGTATCTAAGTGACCTTTATCCGAACGTTAAATGTGAATAGCGTTTATTGGTTTCGGTGCGAGAAGTTATCGAATCCGAGTCGATTTCGCTTTCCGAGACGATTGTGAATAGCCCGACTGGTCGTCACTCCATTTATCTAATCTGTGACTCCATCTAGTTGGGGGCCGCCACACAATTCGTCTACCGGTACAAGATCGCCACTCGAGAATCTTTCTTCCCCAACGGTTGTCGGTTTTTCGAACTACATGGCCGGCCCATTTCCACTTGAGTTTACTAATTCGTTGGGATATGCCAATTACACTGCGGATATCTTCGTTTCTAAGTCTATCAGTAGGTTCGGCATTAGAGCTTTAGAGCCGCCACATCATTATGAAGCGACTGCACTAAGCGGTAGTAGAATCGCGACTCCGTTAAGGCATTATGACGAAGTATTAAACATCAACAATTTTCTTTTAATCGAAAATAAAACTAAATATATTAAATACAGAACAACTATGTTCAACACATTAATTACAACAACCAGTGTGCTTTAAAGTGGGATGCAACCATCTTTGTTTTGCAGAAGAGTATTTTTGAGTAAGAACGTACTAAAAAACAAAAATAGTTTTACTAAAAACAGTGATGAGCATTCTGTAAATACTAGAAACAGGCACAAGCTAGTAATACAAACAAGACCTTCCTATCAAAAAGTTTAACATTTTAGTAAGCGAAAACTATATAAAAAGGGTCATTATATTATTAAAGAATACATGATTGATAATAACCCTTAAGCATGAGGTGATCGCTACCATGCTGTTTCTAATGCTTTTCAAATTCATTTTTTAATATACAATATTTTATTATATACTTACTATATTAATAACTATAAAAAGAAAACTAAAACTAGAAACTTAATTATCATTTATAGTCCAACTCAATTGTACATTTATTTGGAAGTACCTAATACATAAATACATACGGCTCCGTGGCGCAGCATTGAGCTGCAGCGCTAAGGGCCGCAGGTTCGAATCCCGCAAGTATTTGTATGACCTACAAACCATTGTGCCGGGTCTCTGTGCAATTTATGTACGTAAACTGTTCCCACGATACAGGAGAAAATTCTAGTAGAGGTAACTTTAAAAAAAAATTATGCATAAACACTCACGCCTGTCACCCAGAGTGGTAGGAAGAGACTACGGACTTCTATTTGACACGATCCTGACACACCTCTCTCGCCTCCTCTACATCCATGTGTCTACTTTTTTTTATAAGAGAGTGTAAACAAGCATGCGGCTCACCTAATGGTAAGTGACTAACGCTGCCCAAGAAAAACTGCAACACCAGAGGATTTGCTGATGCGTTGCCGGCCTTTTAGAAAGGAGTAAGCTCTTTTCTTGAATGTCTAAGTCGTATCGGTCCGGAAGAATCGTCGGTGGTAAACTATTCCACAGAGGAGTTGTACGAGGAAGAAAACTCCTAGTGAAACGTACACTGGCGGCGTAAAAACATAAATGACGTGTAATAGGCATTCTTGTAATGTATATTGAATAAAAAATATTTGTACTTTATCAAAATAACGGATATAATTATGAAGTAAGTGACAATAAAATACTGAAGTTTTACATGATATTGGTAGTTTTATTTTAATGTTAAATATATTTGTACAGTTACATACCTACACTAAGTTAGTATAAAATATCTTAAAAATACAATAACATATTGGAATTTTTAGAGAAAATGGAAATATCAATGGAAATTTAAGGCTCTCACAATAATTATTCACTATTTATGTTGGAATTTGTACAAGCCATGGCCTAGCCCTGCATGACGAGGTGCACGAAGTTCTCGTAGTTGATGTTGCCCTGCGAGTCTTCTTGACCTTGAAGCAACTGCTCCACCTGGACAATAAAATTTGTTTATAATAAATATTACCTTGTTCCAAATGGTAAAATATAAAATAAAATTACAGCCTTTGTACATATTATATGTCCCACTGCTGGGTACAGGTGTTGTCTCATTTCTGCGGGGCTCTATAGCAATGAAGGTTAATAATCTTCGAGTGAAGTGTGTGAGAATCTCACCAGATGGCGCTAGTTGGGACAGAGGTGAAGTTTTTTGTTACACAATGTGATTTAATTAAGAAGTTAGTTTTAAATTAAAAGTTAATAAGTTTTTATGGTAATAAATTAATACACAAGACAATGCCTTACTGGTTTGCTCTTTAATCTTTTGCACATTTTTAACTCTTAATTTTTCTACTTTTACGGATATTCATAGAATAGTTTATTAATTTCTAATATAATTTATATAAAGAATATGTAATAGTACAGAAAGAAACAATAACCTTTACATTTTCTGAACAAATTAACTTCCCCGCTATGAAATTGTCAAATATTACACCTTATTTCAAAGTGGCGCCGCCCTTGTGGTAGACAAAGTTGTGGATGCCCTCCTGCTTTGGTCTTGATGATTGCGGGTTTTACATGTCCTTGAAACATTTTATCCTTAGACATGCAGGTTCCCTGACAATGTTTTTCTTCACCACAGAGCATGTGGTAAATGAGCACTTGAAATAGCAATTAACAATTTGATTGGTGCCAGCAGGGAAGGAACCTGGGCTCCTCCCGTAATGTCAAATTAACGGAGAAAAAAAAATGAAAAATGTGTGCAGTTCACATGCGGCAGAAGTGAAACCTTCAGAAAACTAAACTTCGAGACAATGAGAGAAATGCAGAGTATCAAGGAGTAGGATAATTTGTAGGGTTTATTTATTATAATATTGTTACAAAGTTTAAAAACTTTTGTAGATTTTTACTCTACAGATTACTTAAATATTCTAATTAAAAAAATTCCTCAACAATCCTTCCTCCTCATAAATCACATGCATAATACCCATACATAATAGGAAAAACCATACCATATTCTATCTCATTCTCTCGAAAGCTAAGTCCTATAGATTTATATGTTTGTCTCTTTTTAGTGTTGCTTTTTCGTTTCATCGAGTTTCAAATTACAAACTTCTAAAATTTTCATTTCAAGAGCACAGGAAACAATCCTGAATCTATTAATTAATATATGAATTAAACACACAACAAAAATAGTTTTAAAAAATTCAATTCTGAAATAGTCACATGGATTGTTAATGGAGTAAATGATTTTGCATCAAATGCTATGACAGCTTAAACTAGATTTAAAGTTACTTCCATGTGATTATAACCAAAATGTAGATGAACAATGTGCAAAATCTCTGCCCAATGCTTTAAAAAAATTTGATCAATTTCTTTTCACCCTCTCAGCACACACTCATTCCTTAGTCAGTTTTTTCTTAATGTAAGTGATTTTGTATTAAGTACCATTATAATATAATAAGCTACATATTATGCTAAATGTTGTGTATACCTGTAATGGGCAAACATATTTAACCATATACTTTTGTTATCGTGCTGTTGTTAATGTTTCATGTGTTTTCCTGTTGGTGTACCTTATAAATAAATAAATAAAATGTTCTTACTTTCTCAACAGTAACTTATATGATTTACTACACTTCTTTTGCAGTGATTTCCTAGCATGCAAGCAACTAAAATTCAATAACTAGGAGCAGACACACGTAAATTTTAAAAACAATTTTAAATGATGGCTGATAACACACTAGTGGTGAAAGAAAATGTCACTTCTTACACTATGTAAAGAGTGACACAACAAACAAGTTATTTATAATATAATAAAATTAGGTATAGAATCAGGTTTTTGATCAAGAATCTGATGAAAACAAAGTTACTGCTTGATGTTATCCATAAACCTGATAAAATCCAGCTTTTTGAGAAGAACCTAGACTAATATAGTTTTATGATAAAATTAACCTAACCTAACATAACCTAAGCTTAAATTTTATCATAAACCTAAACAAGTTCAGGTTTTTAATCGAAAATCAGGATTTGTTCTGGTTAATGATAAGATTAAGTAATAACTGTGACTTCTTCCAGTGCTTGATCAAAAGCTTAGTTTTTTGATCAAAACTTTGCTTTTACCATAAACCTGTGACATATATATTATCACATAAATAAAGGATTGAAGTAAGTTGTGATAACATGCCAACACCTACTTTCCTTTCATTGCGAACATGAATATTGACATGGATCACAAAATAATCAGCCCCTAATATGGGATATGGCTAATGCATTATATAAAGACAGAGATGGTCATCAATAATGAATCACTCTGAATGTACTTTTTGTGAAATATATGAAACTGGATTGATAAGCAATGAGATCTGTTGCTAGTCAATGTGAACATGTTTAGACTTACAATCGGCACTTGCAACTTCTCACAGGAAAGGCTTGACAAACTGTCACAAGTTGCACGCTTGTTATGTACTTTACACCTTCAAGCTACAGAAATTCTCTTACAGGTAGAATCGAGGCCTTATAAGTTAAAATATCTTTTTCCTTACCTCATCATCACTAAGTTTTTCCCCAAGGGTGGAGAGCAGATGGCGCAACTCAGCTGATGATATAAAGCCATTGCCATCTTTGTCAAAGTGACGTAGACCTTCTATGAAATCATTAGCTGTATCACCACTACGTGCTTTGGAGATTGCCTATAAAATAAAGAATAATAGGCATTTAACTAAATGATAAAATCCTAATTTTTAACAACAAATTAGGCTAATACCTCTGTTAACTACCTTAAAAATAATTCAGTCTTATCTCAGTTTCTCTAATTGTGAACATTGTCAACATATCCAAAAACCAGTTTTAACATTTTAAGCATTAATTACCTTATGAATTACAGACATGTCAGCAAATTATTATTTAGGGGTATTATTGTGCCTTCAATGATAAAAAAGATTAAAAAGTACCTGGTAAATAGGCAAGAACACCTCAAAGGAAATTCTTTCATCAGGTTTTAGATGCAAGGTACACTTTTTGACATCTGACTCAGTTGGATTTTGTCCTAGAGCTCTTAAAGCATCCCCAATTTGAGCAACATGAATTTTACCATCGCCACGAGAATCAAACAGCTGGAATGCTTCCTGGAATTCTGCAATAAACACCAGGTTATACAAAATAAATCCATTAAAACTGACAACCTATAAAGAGAAATGTACCTTCCACTGAAGTAAGCTTGAGTTTAGTTGGAGGTTCGTACATGAACATGATGGAAGAACGACGTACAGTGGAGTACTGCGTAAGACGCGAGGTCGACCAGACCCGATCAGAATTACTTTAAAATACAAACCATATAAGGAAACTAGGGCGCTTGCAAAAGCCAACGCTTTCGGTAGTAAAGTTGATTGACATGAGTCACAGTTAAACGGCGACGCGGCGCCCTCGGCCGTACGGCTCGTTTCTTCATAATTTGTTTTTATAACAACAGTTGTGTTACATACCATTAAATTTAAGATAATTAACATAATATGAGTCGCAATTTTGTATTAGAATTGATAACAAGATAATTATCTTGTGTATGACTCACCAGCTAGCTGATCTTCTGAGTAGCCCGCCTAGAAAAACAAAGATATCCAAGTTAAATCTTGAACAACATAAAAATCAATACCAATAATTATAATATAAAAAGGAGTCTTTTTACCATTGCCGCAAGGAAACTAATGAATATCGCAAACTATTTTCTATTTCCGAATTCCAATATGGAAAACAAAAATAATTACACGTCTGCCCCTGAACTGTCAAACTTAATGACAGTGACACTGTGATCTGTGACACTGACATATTACATCAAACAACAAGAACTTTGTTTAATAAGATTTTTGGTTTGGATGCTTGTTTTTTAGCCATATAGTCATTTAGCTTAATATCAAGCAATAATAATCCTTTATAGTATGTATATTGCTTCACAATATATTGATGCGTCACATTACGCAGTTTTTGGAAGATTTTGACGGCAACTTGAGCAAGCAGACAGTTGGTGATAGTATCTCGTAGATAGGCGCTTAAGCAGGATAAGTTGTCTACCTTATCTATTCACATCACCTTCGCAGCACTTGTTTCACCGTTTCCACTAATAATTCACATTGGCAGACACTTAATACACAAAATCAGCTGCAATCCGCCACGAGTCAAAACTCCAACAAGACTATTATAAAAGAAGAGAAGATTCATAGTAATCGTAGTTTAAAACGCGTATGTAAGAGTGAGAAAGATAGGCTAGAACATTCACGTACACGCTATTGGCCTGTATTGGCCTCATTCGTAAACAAAACAAATCCCGCTTGAATTTGCAAAATCTAAAGTTTTAAAGTAAAAATTAATGTTAAATAGACGCAATTAATTATGACTAAGTAATTAGTACCTTACTTACCTCAGAAAAAATCCTACACTAATATACATTTAACCCTCAGGCATGATAAAAATGTTTAGCTATCTAATTGCTGTGTAGAATTAAAAAGTTAAACAAAGTAGTAGGTTTAGAAGTAGTATTTTATTTGACTTTTTCGTACCTAAATATTCGTCTAATCGCACAAAAAATATTTTTAATAAAAATAGGTTGGTAAACGAGCACAGTCCTGATGGTAAGTAGACTGTGGCAGATTTTGACAAAACATTGATGTCCGACAAAAATGGTTAAAAATAGTAAATAGATAGAGAAGAATGGGTTTCCAAAAGAAAACATTCGACTATATGCAGCAAGTACTTTTAAGAAAAATGTTTTTGTCATAGAGATGCCCACCATGTAGTGGCGGTGTAAGAATATCCATCAACCCATATCGTCCGGTGGGTGTCGTAAGAGGCTACAGAGGGAAACAAATCAGGAGATAGGCAGCAGAGGATTACTAATAACGACTAAAAATAAAAAACTGCGGTTGCCGACCCACTTACCAAGCGTGACGACTATGACAAATATCCCCCTATGAGACAATTTATGGGGGAGGCCTATGTTCAGCGGTGAACTTTTATAGGCTGTAACAGTAACATAGAGGTGGATTAAGGGAAAAACTACAACACATAATCCATAAACATTTATTAATAAAATTACATAATATTGAAAGTTATTTTATTATAAACAATATTGAATAACTATAATTTAAAAAAAAAAACTAAATTTAATCAATTATCGTACGGTCCTACTGCTAGTGGTATCGTGCCAAGAACGCTGGCTGCGCTTCCCCGCTGAATGGCTATACTTAGTCTTTGAGCGAGAAAAGAACCAGACCTCTTATCACCAGCAGCAATGGCCAGTCGCGGATAGAGTTCCTTTAGGAATTTTACCGCATGTTGACCCCACGGTCCAATAGTATCAACAGCAAATGGCACATATATGTATTCATCTCTCAGATACTCATATTTGCGCCACTCACTTCACTCAGTTCAGCTGCCTCTGATGCCACCTCGGCTCTAAGCGAGGTAGCCCTGAGATGAGAGGCCACCAAAGTGTTTACGCAGCTTAAAAGATCTGAGGAAACAGATGAACATACATACATAGCCTTTTAAAATTGTAACCATTCTTTTGGCTTGCCCGTAGTTGGGCAAAAATGTTCACTTACATCATCTGCGTCAAATCAGAAGACAGGAATATACTGCAATCGGTATCGATAATAGAAGTTGAGGCAGGCAATGCATGGTGCAGCACTATTTGTCACCCACACCTGCAAATTACACGCAGACTGACGTATTTTGATTTTGGTCTCACCCTAATGACTCCGTCGCCAATCTATAGTCTTTTTTTTTTATTTTAAAAAAAAAAACGTTACCCCCACACTAGGATTTTCTCCTGTGTCGTGGAGGCAGTTTACAAACATAAATTGCACAAGGACAAACATCCAGACCCGGAACAATTATTGGTAGGCCATACAAATACTTGTTCCGTGCGGGATTCGAACCCGCGGCCCCCAGCGCAACAACTGATTGCTAAGCCACTGCGCCACGGAGCCGTCAATATAGTATACTAGCTGGCCAGGCAGACGTTGTTCTGCCCTTTCCGACGACCCTTCCTATGAAAAAATCTTTAAATTCGCAATAAAAAAAAATTGAATATCGGGATAAAAAGTGTCCTATCTCTCAAATTGGACCAAACTGCACAGTGTGCAAAATTTCATTGAAATCAGTTCAGTAGTTTAGGAATTCATCGCGGACAAACAACGTGACACGTAATTTTTATATATAAAGATTATATCTATGTACATGCATATATCAAGTTTGTTAAAAATTTTTTTGCAGGACACAAGGCATTCGTTTACTAATTTCTAAAACATATTTTCGTTTACAATTTTTCCTTTCATATGTTTTCTGAAAATTCGTTCAGAATTCATTCACCGGTACATTTCGTTTTTGGTCTCATCCTCATCACTCCTTCGCCAATCTAACGTAGATAGAGGATTGACCTAAGTCTAGTCTATTAAATCTAATATCTAATATGCAATCTAATGTATACCATAGACTCAGAATATACTGGTGTATAGACACCCCCCCATCCCCACACCAGCCTATGAATTTGGAGTATATGTATATGTATATATATATAAATTATTTAAACTAAATATTAATTATTTAAACTGCACCCATGTAGTTTAAAAATAAAAAATAGTTAAATTCGTTCACCTTATAACGTCGATATTACTTCAAATAATTAGAATTGGGTACTTTTTACAATATAAAAACTGCACCTTGCTTGAATATAATTGCACCATAGTTTAAAATTCATTTAATGCAATGATAAGCTCAAAATTTACCAAAACCAAATTTGTTAAATGTCGATTGGGTGATTTTTTTTCAACAAATTTGGTGGTTTTTCTATACTGTAAAAAGTACCCAATTCTAATTATTTGAAGTAATATCGACGTTATAAGGTAAACGAATTTAACTATATTATATTAGGACTATATGATAATTAAGTTTCTAGTTTTAGTTTTTTTTTTTATTATTATAGTTTTTTAATATAGTATATAATTTTACTTTTTTTTTTATTTCTAAACTATATGGGTGCAGACTAAATAATTAATATTTTGAGATGTGCTATTAAAAATACGTCTGTCAGTATTTTTTTATATATGAACTCCAAATTCATAGGCTGGGGTGGGGGCGGGGGTCGTATAGACCAAATAGACGACCTGACCTGGTATAGACAGAAAACGCGTGACTAATTTTGATTTGTAATTGTTGCGTTAGCTAGTGATGCACATTTTAGTTACAAGGACTATTTAAAAAATGATTGTTAAGAAAGCAGTTAAAAAAATTAAAAAAAAGGACAGTTTAGTGCACGAAATTAAATAACTTCAAAAATTAACTGAATTTTTACCATGATTGTTCTAAAATAATTAAAAACTATTCATATAACATGTTCCTGGGAATAAGCTAAACCTACCTGCCCTTTGTTGGATTTTAATTCAAATATAAAAAATCCCAGGTAAACGATAAACTTAAAAAAAAGCTCCCCTAGAATCAAATCTGAAAGTTGAATTTTTGAGTTATGATCTTTAAAATTTTGACTACCATTGACAGTTTCCCCGGAATTTCTTTTGCATGTCGTAAGCGCCTAAGCGCGTCGGTATGTTCTACTAGGGCCTAAAAATTAAGATTCCAACGGTTTGTCGCATGAAATCGTATCTAGCAATCATACTGTACAAATAAGTGATATAAAAAGCACATTGTCAGAAAGATTTAATATTTTTTTTAAATCGATTAGTTGCTATTTAAAAAAAAAAGGGGGGGGTTTAGTGGCTTATGGTGTGGATTTATCAAGTCCACAAGGCTTGTAAACACGATAACTTTTCACAATAAATATCAATTTTTCAACTCAATACATTTTTAAAACTCTTCATCTATCATGTGGGAAGCCATTGAATGTAAATGGCAGCTTAATTTTGTTTAGTTTAGTTATAATAAATTTTTTTCGGTTGCGAAATGGCGCAATTTTCAGTGTATTCGGCAGCCTTGTATGAATAAATTATTACTAGATAGACTGTGACACTCAGTTTGGCGTCAGTCGCCGTCGTGAATGGAAATTGTTACGGTTGTTTGCAGCGGCTCAAAAAGATCGCTGTACAAATACACAATATTCAAATAACTAAATGTCTTATATACTTGATTATAATAATAATGATAGATTTTTTTTTACAATATTTTAAAAGCACATTATAAATAATAGCAGTACGTACTAAAAGTAAGCAGTATGAATTTTTTCATCATGGGTGTCATTTTCATGCTTTTCGAGGGTGCTGAGGTCGATAGTGCTGTGGAAATGTAAATCCAAGGTGGCGACTGCAATAGGTATAAATTTTTTCATCACGGGTGTCATTTTCGAGGGTTTTGACGGTGTAGAAGCCGATAGTGCTGTCGAAATGTAAATTCAAGATGGCGGCTGCAATAGATATAAATTTTTTCATCATGGGTGTCATTTACATGGTTTTCGAGAGAGTTGAAGCCGATAGGGCTGTCGAAATGTAAATCCAATATGGCGGCTGCAAAAGGTATCAATTTTTTCATCATGGGTGTCATTCTCATGGTTTTCGAGGGTGTTGAAACCGATAGTGCTGTCGAAATGTATTTAAACTACTTTTAAAAATTCCGTAGAATGTTCTGTATAATAATAATTCATGTTATAAGTAATAAGTTTTTAATGCGCTTAGGGCATGCCCATTTGATTTACCAAGTTCTTTATCATATTGTTAATATAAATTGGTAGATATATAACTGTTTAGGCACAAAAAATGGACATTTTGAGACGGCATCCAATCGCCTTCGACT